TAATCGCAAAATATGTTTTAGTAAGCCGTTAGGTTAGGATTCCATCGGAGATAAATTATTAAAATAAAATAGCTGTAAATTTTAGATTAATCTTCATATTATTATCGCTGAATTTATTATAATAATATATATAATATTTTCGCGGAAAATGTTTTATTGTGTGGTAGTTCATATTTTAACCAAATATTACATTACCGTAACAAAAGTTATAGTTAACATTTAATAAGAAAGAACCTAAGTATCGATCGGTTTAGGCAAAGTTAGAATCCGCTTGGCTTCTAAAAATTCTTTTACATTTTTATGTATATCATTGAATACGAATCACTTTCTTTTGTTTCTAATAAAAAATAACAGATGTGGACTTTAAGAAAGATTTATTAATATTTAACGTCATATTTTAAAACAATTTACCACTAGGTAACAAGCCTACTTTGATATGATCAGAAGTGAACTGACTTGCTTCTAACGTTTACTGGCAGCTATGATTATAGCTGCCATATAAGTATTAATTTTAAAAGAAAGAAAGCTGTAGATTTTATGAAAAATAAAATAAATGAAGAGAAGAATTCTCTAGAAGTCGTTATTTTTTCTACCAGTAGCATATTTCGGTATTATTTAGTTGCGCGGATCACACCCACATAAGTAATAAAACTACTCCATAAGTGGACAATTTGCGGTTAATTTTGGACATTTAAGATTTAAATATATTACAGATTTTATGTATTATATTACTCATTTCCGTAAATCGTATTTTAAAATTGATGTCTCTTCATGATAATTTATGTTTAAATTAATACTGTTTAAAATAAGTTTCACCATATAAAAGTTTATACATAAGGGGTTCGAATTTGTATCGATAAACATAATGGAAAACTTCATTTCCTAGTATTCGAGTGCAAAATATGCTAATTTCCGTATTTATAATAATAAGTTTTGAGGAATATTAGCCAAGACGGTCTAAAATGCGAAGCGACAATCACCTGGACAATAAGTGATCGATTTTTGATAATTTTGTTGGTTGTAAGCTGTGTTCAGTAAATTCGAAAAATCTAGTATTTCTCACACTTGTCATAATGCCGTCAAAATTACATCACATTCTGATTTAAACAAAGGTCAACGAACTCCTTGCAGCACTCTTTGTAGTTGTAAACGAAAAAAAAACTATAAAATGTCGGCACTACTTCTGTATTCAAGAAACAACAATCTCGACATATTTATTATCTATTCTGTAGCATTCGTTGTGCTATATTTGGCTCGTTCACGTACCGACACGTGTTGCCGGCTCAAAGG